TTATAATTTACTTGTAATATTACATTGATAGTTCTTTTTTTATATATTTTCAATCATTAATATATAATATGTTTCAAAAAATCAATTTACATAGAAATAAATAAAGACATTTACTTCACGTTGCAGGTATTCTTTGATTTAATGAGAGCAATAGCTGCTCGCAAGGCACAGGAAAACCAAGGAGATGGGAGTGAACGTAATAAGGAAACAAAGTGCTGCATCTTGCTATAACAAACATAAAACAATATGTAGCTTATGTTATGGAAGGTTCAACTCCTATATAATTGAAAGCTAAGCGTAAGAGAACTGTATTTATATAAAAATGAAAGTTTTCTGATACTTTACAGTGAATTGACGCTTTTAATCTTCGCTATTCAAATATATCTAAAACTTAAGATATACTATACAATCTATTCTAATATATTTATATGTATTATATATAGTAATTGATATATATTTCAAAAATATGGTTCATTATACCTGTTTTCTACGAAACTATTTAAAAAATTTTAATAGCAATACATTTTATTACTTTCTAGTTTATATTATGTATTATGTAATATATTTATATAAGATATGATATTTGAATTGAAAAAAATTGAACAAAATTTATAACATTTATAATAGCATAAAATTACAGAAATGCATGCAACATTATTTGCAATATTACTTGTCTTTAGAGTGCTGAAACATAAGTGATATCGATAACATATTTGAGGAGATCGAAAATGTAAACGGTACATATTACTATGAAGATTATTTGTTTTGTTTTTTCGATTATGCAAATAATGTAATTACGTTCATGTTGAAATAAAATAATTGCATTCTTAGCTGTCTTTCGCATTTATTTATTTATAACCTTTAATGAGTTCAGCACTCTTTAATTTGTTTAAAAAATCATTTAAAATTATAGAGAATGTGAATGGAATTCTTTTGCATATTTTGATTGATATAATGAAGAAAGATACAATCAAAGTTCAGATACAATCAAAGTAGTCATAACACTGTAAAGTAACAAAAACTTATAATTTGTAAGCAATTTGTTTATATATTATATGCATACATATATATGTGTTTCACATAGTTTTAATATATCTGCTATGTTTTATTTTATATAGTTATTTTTATCATAGCATTTTATAATGCAGTTTGATATCTCGAACGTGTGAGTGAATTTTATAACGGTTATAATACTTTAATAATTATTTGTCTTTGTTGTATACAATGTTGTATATTAAATTTTATTATGTAAAAGTGGACACATTTTGCGTGCAAATATAAAAAATTTAGGTTTAAGTATAAATTTTAGCATAAAATCAAGAGAAGGTTTTGTTACAAAAATTGATTTATTATAATTTCTAATTTATGTAGTAATAGATTACCAGTGGCTTATTTTATAATAGTATTTTATAGTAGCATTTAGCGTACATCGTTACTCGCACATCTGAAATATCAAGTCATGATGTAAAAAAAAATGAATTTTTATGTTTAACATATTAGACTGTAATATTAGAGACTGATTGTATAATTAATTCACATAATTAATTAAGTCACTTGTTTAAAAACTTCTACCTCTATGAGGCGCATTTATGCAGATAAAATAATCAATTTTAATGCAGCTTTAACGAAGAGAAAAGTGACTTGAGAATTGTATTACAGAATGGTCATTAAAATTCACAGAATGCGTATATTACAGTAATTTTCTTATGAAAGAAAAGTGAAATATTTGTCTATTTAATTTTGATACTTTTGTACTGTTGATGTTGATTGTGCCTTTTAAGTGTTAATGTAATGAGGTCAATCAAACTTTAAAATCCTTTAGAAGAATTTTATAACAACATTTAGATTCAGATATTTACACACACACACACACACACACACACACACACACACACACACACACACACCCACACACACACACATACACACGAGCGCGCAACACATTTTCTGACCACTATATCTTTGCAATTTTATGTTTGATCTGCTATTTTATCATACATTAAACGCGTTTTTATTTAATACCGATGTGATTTATTATTTAACATTATTATATTTATCCATTCACTTATATCCAAAAGATTTTGTAATTAACCAATTCTAAGTAGAAGCTATAGATATATATTAAATTCTAATATTATTAAAACATATGATATATTAAATATCTTTTATATTATTATTATGATAAATGATTTTTAAATAACTTATTTTCACATTTCAATGAAATAGTCTTATAAATAAATAAATTACTTATGTATGTTATGTATTAGCAAACAACGAAATATATGTAACTGAAAACTTAATAGAAATTTTATTTTTATATGTGAAAAATGTAATTAATTAGTTTATTTTAGCAAGTATTCTACTTATCGAAGTGATAAAAAATAAATTTTTATTTGTAAAACAATTTTTGTTGAAACTAGTTATTTTATACATCAAAATGTCATTAAGAAAATTAGATCTAAACATAATAATTTTCCCTACAACATATAATGTTATTTATTGTAAAATATATTATTTACTTAATAAATGCCAATGTAAACAAATACCAACAAAAAAAATGTAACTGATCAATATATTCGAAAATTGATTATTATAATGGATTTATTGTACCTGTAGAATAAATACATGAAAAAGAATAATTCTTTATTTAAGATTCATGAAATAATTGTACATAATTTAAATTTTGTCATGTAATTATACTTGTATATTTCTTTATTATTAAAAATATTTTTAAATATATTTTTAAAAATATTTACAACAATAATGATTTTTCAAATAAATACTTTTATTTTATGATGTTATATGTAAAATGACAGAGCTATGAAATGATTTTTCATAGCATGTAATATAACAATATATTATATTTATTTATAATTGTTGGATTTATATATCAAAATTTAAAATATCTCTTTTCGAAATTAATTATTTTTGCAGCAAATGCAAAGAAGCAACGAAACATAGGAAATAGAACAAATAAAATAGAATGATGCAACAATATATATAATTTTATAAAAACTTCATTTTTGTAGGATACTTAATGTCACAGTTTTATTTCTTTTGAAAGAGCCTATAAAAATTTAAAAAAATAATATATTTTCTTACATTTACATTTAGACTTTCACATGCGCAGAAGTAAAGAAATAGATCACTCTGAATGTTCTTTCTGAATTCATCTTCTTTCTTTATAATACATTTAGATGATCTTCGTTCGATTAATATTATAGAGTAACAAATATGCAATAAATATTTCTTCTCTTATGTACATATAGGGCTCCGAAATTGATGTAACATCTTGTCACATAAAATTACCGTGCAAACGGTAGAATTTTTTTTGCAAATTTAATTCTCTACGTAGTACAAAGCACAAATAATATTATATTTTTATGTTAAGGTTTTTTGCTTCCCTGTGTTTTTCATAAATGGAAATAAAATTATGAATTACTGTATATTTATCTTGCTTTGAGCAACCAATTACTTTGTAACAATAGTATTGAATTTTACAAAGTAATATAGTTGAAGACTATTATTTTGAATTAGTGATATTTATGCTCAGTGTATCAACACGTATACAATGGCATTGAGAAGACAGTTGGAATGATTTATCCTCTCGGCTTACTGAAAACCCAGAGGATTGTAGTAAAAAAACATTTTTAATATATCTGTAATTTATTGTCAATGTTTAAGCTAACGATATTCTATTCATTCCTTTTAAGATTATAATATATAACATCGACAATTAATTACAGAATAAATATTTTAACAATGCATTTATGATCAACACAAGTACATTATTATGAATAAAAGAGAATAAATGATGCTGTTAAATGCATCACATTCTTCAATGGGAAACTTCGGGTTTTTGTGTGTGCATATAAAAAAAATTAGAAATCAATATTACACAATACTTAATATTATTCAAATATTATAAGTGACTAATATATTATGTATATTCAATATATGTTTTTTTCTATGTACAACATAATAATTATGGCCAATTAAATAATGACATCTTTGTGCCTTGTATCAATATAAGATTTATCTTTTTAAATATGTTACTATTGGTCTATTTGAAGAAATTACAAATTTTTCTAAGGAAAAGAATATGTAAGATATACATAAAACAAAGATCCATATCAAACATCATTTCAGTAAAAATATTGCTGATAATTACATATACTAATTTATACTTTATTGTGCGCTAATCACAGTTGTTTAGAACCTTCTGCTTTTTTCGCTGTTGATTGAACACCTGATGTAATTGGAGGATTTTTTATCTCATCAGATTTGGAATTACTTTTAAGAACGACAGTTGATTTCTGCTTATTCTCTTCAATATTCTGATTTCCATAAGTTTTACTGGATTCTCTGACAGCATCATCTACTAACTCCTCTTTTCCATATCCTGGCTCAGTTGTTACTGGTGTAGCTGGAACCGTAGATTTATGCGTAGCTTTTATATTCTCTTCTGGTTGAGAAGTCTTGGAATCCTTTTCCAACGATTTTTGTATTTGTTCCTCTACTTCTAATACTTCTTCTTTATCCATTAATTCTATCAATTCATTTACTTGTTCTTTGCTTAAGTTAACATCTTCTTTACCTATTAATTCTACAACCTGTAAAAATTATATTACGTGATTAATATATCAATAAATAAATGTAATATCAATATATAATATAAAGTTGTATAATCATGCTTATATATAATATTTACAAGATTTTCAATATTATATTATCTTATTTGTAGGATAATATTGTAGGATTTTATTAATAAAAATTTTTAGTTTGTTTTGTACCTTTAATACATCCTCTATTTTTATTGCACCGTCTCGATCGTCATCAATTTTTCCTAAAATTTCTGCTATGCGTTTTAAACGATGTTCATCGGGTACACTTTGGATTTGTTTAATGGCTGCAATCAGCTCATCTATTTTAACTAATTCTTCAACATCTTTGGCATCCTTTTTCTCATCAGGACCCAACGATTCGATTCTTTGTTTAACTTTTTTCTCGGATTGTTCGAGCTCCAACAAAACGGCATCCATTTTTGAGATCATTTTATTTACCTTTTTGAAAAGTCTATTAGCACCTTTTGATATTTTAATGTTTTCTATATCTGTTTGACCTTTTGCTTCCGCTTTAATTTGATACAATTCCTTAATATCTTCTTGATACTCTGCCATTTCTTCCTTAAGTTCC